TTTGAAAACATGTGATATAATTTAACTGGAATCAAATAACGAAATAATAATCAAAACTAATAATTTTCTTTAATAAGTGTTTTGCATCAACTTTCACAATTTTATTTGCTTATTTTCATATGTGATCTAATTTTGTTTTCCACTTTAAATTGATTGGTTTCTTTTCAGAAAATATTAGATTACAAATTCGCATGTATACGGATCATAAATATAATTTATGTATAAAAGAGCAAAGATGAACAAACCTTCATGGCTCGGTGTTCCCTAACTAATGCAATTAAACATGACAGAGGACAATGTTTTCCGAAAGATTAATAAGCATAAGCCAAATCAAATATATTGGACACAATCGATATTCTGAAATTGAGTCTTTTATTAATAGTTTGAAAGCTTACATTCACCCCAAATCTAATTACATACACACAAATAATGTACCCACATGAAAAAAAGTTAGTGGGAGATAAAAACGGCCTCACTCACCTTTGACATGAAATGACATTCCCCGAATAGACAATTGTAGACGGCATCACGTAGTATTGGTTCATGGCGTACAAGATTCTGATGTAGAGCGAATCTGTGAAGGCCACAAATCGACATGCATAATCCCAAATGTTAATTAATTGAGCCGTGGGGTTAAGGGCTTAGACGTGGTGCGTTGTCGTCGATGGTAGGAGTGATGAAATTGGAATCTTGGGGATTTCGTTATTCGACGACCCTACATTTGAAAACGATTCTAAGGTTGTTACAACTTAAATGATATGAAATACGGTTTAGTTCAATTGTGTTGTGTAAAGAGATTTTTGTTCAATATAAGACTAGAACAATTTATTTCTCATTTGGTGTTGCGAACTGTAGGATATGGACGATGGCAACTGGAGGCTCAGTATCGGCCAACCACTTATAATTAATAAAGACGAGGATCGATAAAATGTAAAGCGAATTAACACGATATTTTCATTTAAAACTTTTACTCACTAATAGAATATCAAATTTGTTGGTTTTCTTCTTA